TTGTTTGGATTATGATTGAGTAAAAATAAGTTTGACTGTAAAATTCCAAATGGGTATGAGTTTTTAAAAAATAATGAAATATGATTACAAAAATAATTTTACATAATACAATGATTTAAAATAATTTAATATGAAGAAGTGAATTTAACAAGTTAATTAATTTTAAAATTTAGAAAAATCATAAAAAATATTTTAAATGTAAAATAAACATGAAAAAAAAAGAATGGGAGGAAGTACATCAAGAATCTATTTTATGATGGCATATAGATTGAAGCAGTTTGAATGGGAATCACATGACTTTTGATTTTACCCCAAAAAAAAAAAATTTGGTGTGCGTGTGTGTTATGACTTTTGAGTACTAAAAATTTAACTTTATTACTCTTTTGAAAAAAAAGAAAAGAAAAAGAAAAAATAACTTTCCTAATTCCCACTACCCTTTGTCGGACTCGGAACCTCTCCATTTCCTTACTGTCCATTCTCCCTCCACTTCCCTAATCTGGACCATTCATTAAATCCAATTGCTCATTTTTCACAGCACACTACAAACCCCCCCCCCCCTCTCTCCCACCGCCACTTCTATTTTACTTAGCTTCTCCCCCTTCCATTTCATCTCACAACAGAGATCTTGTTAAATGAAATGGCTCATGTTTTTAAAACACAATTCAAAACTCCGTCCGCCTCCCCCTCATTCGATCTTCCCTTCTTTTCCAACTTGGCCTCGCCCCTGTTGCAGAATGAGATCTGAATGAGGTGAAGCTTAATTGAAAACGAATGCTGAAATCCAATGCAAATATGAAGATCCTAATTTTTTAATTTAATAAGACCTCCGTTGGCTGTTGCAGAATGAAATAGAAGAGGGCGAAGCTGAATTCAAATAGAAGAGATGGGGAGAGAGGAGAGGGAGTTTGTAGTGTGTTGGAAAACATGACCCACTCGATTTGACGAACGCTCTAGATTTGGTAAGTGGAGGGGAAATGGACAGTAAGAAATGGAGAGGTTCCGAGTCCACCCTTGTGTCACGCATGAGGCTGCTGGTCCGCTGACGAATGGGACCCACATGTCCACACGTTATGCTCAGTCACTCCACGATATCTGACACATCACAAGGTAAAGCCAGTAAGCTCTTCAAAATAAGCTTCTTTTTGGGGCTTCCATTTGAACGCATGCTGGGTGAGCTTATTCCAGACAAACTTAATTGGCTTAAACCCTCCCCAACTAGACTAATATTTTCAATCAGGCTTCTGCCCAAAGTAAGTAGCTTCTCACCCAATTTAAGCCTTCTTAAATGGATACTCAGCTTATTCAATTTAACTTTTATCTAATCTTACTTTTCTGAAAGTCATATTAAAATAAGCTACTTTTTCTATTGCCAATCCAAACGAACCCTTAGGAAGATTCTAAGTTTTTGCTTTGACCATTTTTTCCCAGGTTTTCTTAGCCTAAGAATTATGAAACAACACAAGCTATCAGGAATTGCTACACTTTATAAAATTTGGTATGGTAGAGTTAGTATCCATGACGCACCTGGCATGCACACTTGAAAACATACTGCTAGAGTTGTGTACTCAAGTCTAGGACTCGGGCATCAACCAATCCTACTGTTATAACATATTGCAGAATATATATGGGGATAAACCAGCAGATTTGGGCATGCTGGAACTGTTCATGTGGATGCAATTTGCTTTGGGTTTTCTTCTAGGCATGGGTAATGAATCATCTTCCTTATCCATACCTGCTGAAAATCACTTGCTCGCTTGTGGCTCTTTTGTGAACATAACCTTTCAGGGCATCAAGTTGCCAAGAAAAGGGCACGAGAGACACTTGAAGTTGGCTTGCTCATGTCATCCAGCGAAGATAGAGCCAGTACTTGGTACAAGCTTGGGCGTAGCTTTTTCTTTCTTTCTTTCTTTCTTTCTTTTGATTTTGTTTGTGTTTTTTGTTTTAGTTTCTTCCGTTTCTTTCTACAGGTCTTTTAAACCAATGATAGAAATATATAATTAAATGTTAGAGTTTTCAGTAAAAAAATTCTAATATATTCTTAACTTATTCGAAAAATTAGTATGAAGTGTCAAGGAAGTAATATAATTTTGACTTTTGATTGTTTGGCTGGTTGTTTGCACTTGTTTGTGCAATTGATCAAGACTCTCTTGTACACCATGTCTTGATCATAGTAGAACCATTTTCCATTGATCCAAATGACCTGTGGTTTTTTATCCTTGTATTGAGGAGTTTTCTACGTTGATGTTTTTTGGGTCTCTAGTGCTATTTAATTTCTGCTATATATTTGTTTTGCTTTCTCAAAGATTCCAGTCGATCGCTCGGGTACAACTGGCCCCAGCCTCCTTGTCCCGAGCGATCTGGAAGCTTGACAGAGAAACAGTTAAATCAGATAGCTCGCACATAATGACAAGTAGTGAAAAGATGTTCCATATATAAAAGCTCGAGTTATTGAAGTAATGCTTTTGGAGAATGTTAGCTGCAGGGAGTGCATTTGATGGGAGAGAGATTGCCAAAAGATCTCCTAGTAAGAATCCGAGGCCCCCTGTTTAAAATGTGATCCAAGACTTATTCTGAAAATTTTTAAACTGAAATTATTAGCCAATTTAGAGAATGACACGATTTTTTTTAAAAAAAAAGTGTCATCTATTTTCCTGACGGTCAGTTTGTGGAGAGAAAAAAAACTAAACTCATAAATATTCCACGAACTTATTTAATTTAGCAATTCAATTATCAAACTTGCCACCGACTAAACTGAAGGTGTGATTTTTCATCATCCAGCGGGCAAAGTCATGATGCGTTCACTTCCAGCTATATTAACTTGGCGGCATAATTAATTCTGCAAACGTTCCTGAGACCCAAGTGAAAAAAAAAGTACAAATTGCGCTTTTTTTTTTTTTTTTTTTTTAAAAATAATAAGGCAATTTTATTTTAAAAAAAGTAAAAAAGTATGGTATAAAATTTTAACTTGATGCATAAATTAGAGCCCCATCCATATCCACTGAAGCATAAAACAGATCCAAAAAAAAGAACCCCAAAATGAACTAGAAATAGATCAAATGAAAAGACCCAGAGGGAAAATTTAAAGCAACTTCCTGAGACCCAAGTTTGAAAAAAAAAGGGAGCACAAATTGGCTCTTTTTTTTTTTTTTTTAAAATCCAGTTCTTCATTCAAAAAAAAAAAAAAGAAGCAACTTCGCCACTAGCGCCACCTCTCCAACCCCATGCATGGGATAGGGTCCTGGGATTTAAATTGTTTTTAATTGAGAGATAATTGATCTTTGAATTGTTTAAGTTTGATTAAGATAACTAAAATTTCAAATGTCAACACAAAACAAAACAAATATATCTTCCAGTTAAGCCTATCAAAATATATTGGTTCATTTCAAAGAACAAGTAAATTGATTTTTTTTTTTTGGGATAACAGGACTAGTAAATTTGATTTGAAGATGAATGTCTCCAGGAAAGTTTCATATTATGATATTCAGCCAAAAAAAATTCCATAGATTAAATATGACATTTTTCAATACTATTAACGCAGAGTAATAATTAGTATACATGACATCAAGTGCTTCAATTGTATAGTAACTTTTGGATTTTGATTTCAATTAATACTAGTGTAGGAGCATTACAACACGATTCCGGGGATAAAACAGAAGACATGGGCATTCTGGAGCCATTCAAATTCTCATTCACTTTGCCCAAAAATATGTCCCCTGCCTTGATAACATTAATCACTGGCAACTACCATTAAAGATTAGGTTTAACAGAATATGTTAGTCTTTCATAATGTAATGAATCAAAATTTAAAGTCCTATTAAGAGAAGTGTTTACATTTAGTACCTGATAATATGTCGAATAAAATTGTCTCTGATAAGAAAATACCTGTGTCCAAGAAAAAAAGTAATCATACTTCTCAATAGTTTCGCCATTATGGAGCAAGGTGGCCCGTACTTGTTCAAAGAGTTGCAATCAAAGTTACATCTTCAGCCTTGCCTCACACATTAGCTGTACAACTTTGTTTAACATTGACGTGTCAATTTTTTTTTTGGCAGTCAAAGATCACGCTGCGTAAGAGATCCTAATAGTTTGACATTTCAACTACGATCACTAATTAGGGAGATGAGGAAGATTCTAATTTTGCTTTGACCATTTTTCCCCCAGGGTTTTCTCGGCCTAAGAATTATGAACAAACACAAGCTGTCAGGAATTACTTTCCTGGAAAATTCATGTCTTTATAATATCCATAAATACTACACTTTATAAACTTTGGTATGGTAGAGTTAGTATCCATAACACACCTGGCATGCACACTTGAAACCATATTGCTATAGTTGTGTAACTCGAGTCTGGGATTTGGACATCCACCAATCCTAGTGTCATAACATATTGCAGAATATATCTGGGGATAAACCAGCAGATATGGGCGTGCTGGAACTGTCCATGTGGATGCAATTTGCTTTGGCTTTTCTTCTAGGCATGGGTAATGAGTCATCTTCCTTATCCATACCTATTGATAATTTCTTGCTCGCTTGTGGTTCTTCTGTGAACATAACCTTTCAGGGTCGCACTTTTTCTCCTGAATCTGTCTATGAGAAGCACAGATTAGAATTGAAAACCCAGAAATCTGTTGTTGTAACCTCTGATTCTGGCTCACCGACTTCAGTCTACCAGTCAGCTAGAATCTTTTGGAGCAATGCTTCATATATATTCAGAATTGTGCGACCAGGCCAGCATTGGATTCGCCTTTACTTCTCCCCTTTGCCCAACTTTCATCAGAACATGTCCTCTGCCTCAATAACAGTCATCACTGATGGAATTGTCCTTCTCAGTGATTTCAGTTTCATCACCTATGGTGGTTCTTACCTTTTCAAGGAGTACGTAACCAATATTACATCTCCTAGTTTGTCTCTCACATTCATCCCTTCCAGAAATTCATTTGTCTTTGTTAATGCCATTGAAGTTGTCTCTGTACCTGAAGATATCTTTGTTAATGTAATCGATATTACATCAGTTTTTATGGAGAATTCTTCAGACCTGGTCCTTGAAACTGTTTACCGTTTGGATGTGGGCAATGAATCTCTCACCACCAGGAACGATGACCTTGGTCGAAACTGGGAAGGTGATGAAAAGTACATGGCCTCCAATAATAGAGCATTAAATGTTTCAGTTGACACTTCCTCTATAAATTTTGCTTCTCAGACTGAACCTACCATAGCACCAATGTGGGTTTATGCTACAGCCAAAGCCATGGCAGATGAAAGAAGTTTAGATTTAACTTGGGTCTTCTCTGTAAATCCAAACCATACCTATTTTGTTCGGGTGCATTTCTGTGATGTCATAAGCAACTCAAAGAGTCTTACAATTTTCAATCTGTTTATAAATGATGTTGTTTATGAAAGAGTAGACCTTTACTCCATATTTCTCAAGTTTTCAGTCCCATTTTACATGGATTTTGTTGTCTACACCAAAAAGCGTGATTTGACACTAAGTGTTGCTCCAGATAGGATGACGAATAGCAGGAATGCAACCATAAGTGGGCTGGAGATAATGGAGATCATCAATGAAGTTAGAATGCTGGATGGAGTGGCGCCCTCTGAGAGTATTCTTCCCAATTCATCCTCAAGAATTGTGAAAGTATCAAATATAACTGTGCCTGTCATTGGCGTTGCAGCTTTCCTAGTTCTCACTGCAATAAAATTATGTTACATAATAGCTCACAGGTCCAGGGCAAGCTCCAGAACTACTCCCTTATCATGCAGGCTGTTCACCTTACATGAAATCAGTGCAACAAACAGCTTTGACGAGTCTCTGCTTCTTGGAGAAGGTGGTTTTGGCAAGGTCTATGAAGGAACGATGGTTAATGGGATAAAAGTAGCCATCAAAGTAGCCAATCATGAATCAAGGCAGGGTCTTCATGAATTTCAGAATGAGATTAAATTGCTATCCAAGCTTTCTCATTCGAACCTTATCTCTCTAATTGGTTGTTGTAATGAAGACTCACGGATGATTCTTGTCTACGAGTTCTTAGCTAATGGATCTTTAAGCGGCTACCTCTATGGAGCTGGCTTTATTCCTCTTTCATGGAAGCAGCGGCTAGAAATATGCATTGGGACAGCAAAGGGTCTTCATTTCCTTCACACAAGAGTTCCTCGAAGCATAATCCATCGTGATGTTAAGACAACGAATATTCTGTTGGACAAGAATTTAGTTCCAAAAGTTGCTGATTTTGGAATCTCAAGAAAAGGTCCACCTCTTGATAAGAGTCATGTAACAACCTTTGTAAAGGGCAGCTTTGGTTATATTGATCCTGAGTATTTCAGAACAAAATATCTCACTGAGAAATCAGATGTTTTCTCATTTGGGATGGTTCTGATGGAAGTTATCTGTGGTAAGCCTGCTTTGGACAATACTCGTCCAACAGAGCATCTTAATCTGGCAAGATGGGCATCAAGCTGCCAAGAAATGGGCACCTTTCATGAGATTATAGACCCATATTTGAACGGAAAAGTGAACTTAGATTCTCTAAACAAAGTATGTGAATTGGCTTGGAAGTGCTTGGAGGAGAGACGCATAAATAGACCACCAATAGGGTATGTACTGTGTGAGCTTGAAGATGCTCTCCACATTGAGTTGGCTTCACCAATTCAGCAAGTTTCTGTGGATTGTGCCATCGAAAATGGAATGAAGGATGAAAAGTGCATGACTTGGCTCGGAAGTGCTCAGGGAAGAGTCGCATAAGCAGACCACCAACGGGGTATGAACTGTGTGAGGTCGAAGACGCTATCCAACTTGAGTTGGCTTCACCAATCTGGCAAGTTTCTGCAGAGCATTGATATATATATATATATATATATGTATATATATATATGGATGCAGAAAATGGAACCAAGGATGGAAGACGTTTTCTCAGTCTAATGACTTCTTTGCTGCTAAACTACTGTAGGTTGTTTTTGTAACTGCATGATAATATAAATTATGGTGAGATAGCTATAATTAATAAGAGATGTTTTGAAAACCACAAAAAAAACACAGTTTAGAATCATCTGAAACAGAATGTACGAGTGATTATTGTTTGTGAAAAATATATATATCATTGTTAATTTTAGTTCAGGTTAATTTTGCTTGCTTGAGCCTATCATAAATTAAGAAAACCCAAGTGATTTTTTTCCATCCAATGGAAAAAGTGCATTCTATAACATAATGAGAACATGCCACAACTTACTCAGCTACAAATTAGTATCATCAATCATCGTACGCCCTGGTCCAATGAAGATATGATCTCCAATAATTACTTTTTTCTTGGGTTGAATAACTCCAGTAGTTACTTTTACAGTGAAAAAGATTAGTCCAGAAATATGACCAGAAAAACCAAGAAAAAGAAATTCTCGCAAGTTATCAAGCAAATGTGCACTTTATCCCTCTCACATAGTTCTTGTTAATTGTTAAACATCATCCAGACGGTACTGTTAATTTTTTTTTTGGACAAGAATATATAAAAAAGAGATTTAATTGAAGGGAGAGAATAAAAAATTAAAATTGAAAAAGTACAACTTATAGATTTTTTTCCGTACAAAAATTATAGGAAAAACAAGATTAGGAATAATGAACCCACAAGATATCTGGGAGCCCAATTAATTTGACCCCATAATGACCTTAGTTTGAATTCAGAGACATTCCATCAGGCCCACTTCAGTTGTAAAGCCCAAATGAATATGTGAATTCAGTCTTCCTGACGGATATAATGGTGGCAGACGGTCCCTTTTCTCCTCATATTACTCCGGCTCTTATTATTCGTTACTTATTAAAAAAAAATTTAGTCTTAAATATAAGCTTCTTGTATGAAATTTAATGATCATTTTCTAAATTTACTCTTATTTAATTCTTGTTAAAAAGAGGGGGAAAAAAAGAAGGAAAGAGGTTAAAATCATTTGTAAGTGCAGCAAAAGAAAAAAAAAACTTTAGTAAGAGTTAAAATTTTTTTATCAATTCAATGTATTTCTTGACATGTAAAAATAAGTTGTAAGTGACTTGTAATGAGAATTGAGTGGTACATGCGTTGTGCCTTTGGCTGCTCCCAATATCATGGATTGGAGAGAAAAACCTTGGTTTTTGAAAATAAAAAAAAAAACATTCGAAAACTTTTCGCAGTCAATTTTTCCACTGACTGAATTGGTATAAGCAATCCAAACACTTTTTTGATAAGCTGGGGAGAACAACTTCCAATAAGCACTTTTTCCCATAAAATCTATTTTACTCAATTTTTTTTAATAAAAATCTATTTTCCTTAAAATCTATTCTTCTGGTCCTATTTATAAGTTATTTCTAATATGTTTCACATGAATCAAGAAAAACTTAAAACTTCATTAACTCTCATTTAAAATTCAACAAGTTTCTAAATTTATCCCTATTCAATATACATTATATTTTATATAAATAAAGTCAACACAATAATAAATGAAGTGTAAAATTGTACATACATACAAAAAATTTCTCTTAATAGCCTATAAAAAAAATAAAAAAATCTTTTTTTTCTGCTCTATACAAATCCAATTTTCCGCCTTCTTTCCCCTCCCCCCGGTTGACCTTCAAAATTTCCACTCTTTAAGGCTCTTTTTTTTTTTGGCCAACCTTTAGGGGTTCAGAATATAATTATACAAACGTAACCCATATTTATAAAGAAAGTGACAGACATTAATGTTGTAATTTTGATTCAGAGTATATTATTAATTAGATGTTTGACAGTACAGTTTGCATTCACATGCGAACCTGCAGATATTTTAAACTAATAAATAACAAGAAAACACGGTTTGAAATAGACGATTCTAGGAAGGCCAATAAGTATATATGACGTTAAGAGAAATATATATTGAAGAGTTAGCTCATATCTCATAAGATCACGAGTTCAAATTTCACTGTTGACATGAGAATCTTGTTAGTAGACAATTTATAAGTATTTCTGTAAATACTCTCTAATTCTAAAGGTATGCACTAACTTTGGTGAGCCATCGGGACCTAATTCACTCAAACTTTTTCTTGTAATAAAAAAAAGAAATATATATTGTCAATATTTACTATACGTAATTCTTCAGTATGATTTCTTATACAAAAATATTGCTTAAATAATCTAACTATGAAACGTGAGAATGAAGAAAGAGTACCGATTCCAGCAAATTTCTATTACGAATTTGATGACAAGATATTTTAGTTTAATAATCGCATATTTTCAATCCGAATTTATGTTTTCAAATTTGCAACTTTATTTATTTATTTATTCCCAATCGCATATGCTAAAAGCACCACACGGAACTGAAACGATTGATCGAAATGCAAGGAAAACTGCTCAAACGGTGTAAATGTAAGGAAATCTATTCTCCTTAAAATTTACTTTTCTAATCCTATTTATAAGTTATTTTCACCATATTTCATATAGATCAAGAAAAATCTTAAACTTTGTTAACTCTCATTTAAAATTTAACAACTTTTTAACTTTATTCCTATTTTATATACATTATACATCATATAAACAAAGTCAACAAAATAATAAATACAGGATAAAATTATATATCTATACAAAAAATTTCTCTCAATGCCCTATAAATAGGACAAAAAATATTTTCTCTTCATGTTCTATAAATAGGACTAGAGGAATATCCTTTAAACCAATAAAATGTTTAAATAGGACATTTTTTATGAATTTAAGTTTGTCACAATTTTCCCTGTTTTATTTTATTATTTTAATATTGTATTATAATTATCTATTATACTATTATAAAAATAATATATGTTAACATATCAATCACCTTAATATAAACTATAAATGTTTTGTTAATATTAATTTATTTAACTTATGAATTAACATTAATTTGTATTAATTCAATTTAATATCCTTTTGATTCAGTTTTTGTGCGGCTCGAAAAAGTTATGCATTGTTTTGGTGTTTGACGCCTTTGATTAGTTTGTGATTACCAAATCTAATAATTTGACTGTATGTTATTGTTAGGTAGGAATATAATTATCGTTCACAAGGGTAGAAGACCAGACTTTACCCCTTTTCTTAAAGTCTATTATCGGTGCATCGTCTGCTTTTTTATAATTAATTATGTTGGGATTTATTGTTTAATATTTTTTAACTATAAATTAGATGGAAATTGTTGCTAACATGATAATGACATAGGTTGGAGGAACTCTGTTATCCTTGAAAATTTTCAAGGAACCAACTAAGAAACCCTCCGTGCAGTTGGATTTTAAGAGAGGCAAATTGAATTACTGATTGGGTAAAGTGTTTTTAAAAAGTATTTTTTCATAAATCAAGAGAAATTTTTATATATATATTTATTCGTATATCATAAAAACACTTCTAAAATCATAGTTTTGTTTCTACCCAAATACCTCCTAAAACTTCTTTAAATGGGTCTGGGTGATGAGACTGCTGCCTCTATTGTGTAAAAGAAACTAACTTTTGTAATGCTTATGTTGATGTAGGCTGATTTTGATCCTGCTTTTACTGTTTTTGAGCTTTCAAGATATTGTACTGTTGATTTTATGAAATGAACTTGTTGGCAAAAAAAAAAGAAAAAGATAATGACATTATTATCTTTTAATTGAAAAGGTAGGCGCTGGCAGCTGAGATTATAAAAGGGATGGAAAACCCAACAAGCTCCATTTATAAGAAAAGATTCATAATACATTTTTTTCAAGTGAAAAAGATATTCATATTACATTAAGTTACAAGATTTTTACCTACACTAACATTATTATATTTGTACTACCTCCAGTCCCTCGTATAAAAACTAACGGAGTTGAATTTGATCCAAAATATAAGATTACAATTCATTTTGTTCCTCTTATTTAACCAAACCAATCTTATTAATTGCATTTATTAAATGAAGCTTGCATCAAAAGGTAATTTCAATCCAAATTATTTAAAAAGATATTTTAAGAAAACTAACATATATTTTTAACAAATAAATAATTTATTTTTTCAATTTATCTGAAGTAATTAAGTAGATATTATATTAAAGATCCGAGGCAGTGTTTTGTTACAAGATTTAGATTCACGCCTGTTTACCGGCTCATAATTGCGTGTAAAGGCACAACTAGGGTAACTTATTTGCCGCTTGTTGAGGTCCAAATATTCATAATGACGAATGGATAAGCATAGTAAGTCCGCACGTTAAAGCCTTTTTAAATGGGAAATACTACTTCCATTTTTTAATATAAAAACTTGTTTAAGTTTTATTTTAATTCTAAATATAAGATTTTGATTCATTTTGTTTTTTATATTTTTTTTTTAAATTGTCCTTATAATAATGGTAGTTCTAACTAATACACTTGATTAGTAAAGATATTTTTAAAAAATAACACATATTTATTACAAATAACTAACTTACTAATTTTTTTAATCTATTCAAATTAGTTAACTAATTCTTACTAGTATATTAAGGACCGGAGGTAGTGGTAAATCTGAATCACATGTGAATGATATGATGAGTGCGTAGGTCATGACAAAAGGAAAAAACTTAGCATAACATAACAACACAATGACAACAAGTGTTATCTTAAATCTGTTTTTACCCATTTCCGAAGGATTTCATGTTATTTGATTTACTAGTCTCGTCATGGCAACTACTAATGGTCTTCTTTGTGTATATATGAACTATCTCAAGTGATTTTTTTTTTAATAATTTTCTCTTTAATAGGCATTTAGGATATGGCAACTCTTCGTGCAAGAATTTTAA